ATTTCAGGTAAACTTGCTGTTCTTCTTCACTCCACTGCTCTGATATGTAAACCAAATGATCTTGAGTTAAGGTCAGCAACCAATGGATGAATATTCTCTTTCAGGATTTTTAACAAGTCTGCCTGATCATCACACTGCAGCTGTTTGCTTTTTGCAAGCTGCTTCTTTCTGAAGTTATCTTAGTTTTATTTTCCACATAAAAAGTGATCAAAAGCTCCATGTTTCTTATCACTTTACAAAAAGGTAAGGGAGTGTCCTAGTGGTTAGGGCATTGCACTTTGAATCCAGAGGTTCTGAGTTCAAGCCCCACTCCCACAGACCCATCCTGGGTCCCTGAGCAAGACCCTTAACCCAGACTCCTCCCGGGATGCCGCACAATGGCAGCCCCCTGCTCCTTAAGGCCGGTGTGAGATTAATAAAGTTCAATCATTATTATAATTATTTTAATAAAGCGAGAACATTTTGTCCTTGTGGCTTGCTTCTTTCTAAAACTCTCATATAGCTTTACAATCTGAAATTTAGCTTTAATCACAGGGTTTAGGTTAGGTTTCAACCAAAAGTTCTGTGGATAAAATTTAAATAAGCTTATCTTCTTACTAGGTCAGAGTACATTTCCTAGTCTGGATGTTATCAAAATGAGACAAATGTGTGTGAAAACTGAAAGTGAACAAAAATCAAGACCATATGAATTAAGAAAGAGGCCGACAATTGATAAAACGAGTCAGAAAGTTATCACACGTGTCTATATTTTCAGCTTGAATTGAGGCCCACTGTTAAGGTAATGTGTTGCTCTGCAGCTCTGCAGTCAAGTCTGACAGGAAATGGAGGGGCTACTCACCGATCTGACAGGAAGTTACATCCACACTTCCTCTCAGCAGATCTCCTAGAGGGCTGTTTTCTGCTATCTCCTGCTTGACAGAAGAAAAAAAAAAGATAAAGGTCTAGTTTGTTAATATTTCTTTAAACATCACCGGTATTCTATTAGGGAGAAAAGTGATCTCACAGTTCTGTCAGGCTCTGCTGCGGACGGACTGATCTCCTCCACATAGTTTGCAGGGAACCACATCTGCTTCTTTCCTCCAAAGTCACCTTTCCACCTATGCGAACAGACATAAATTTAGAAGTGCATTTTTATCCAACCATGGGGCTCTTCTGCTATAAATTTGCTCTTATATTGTGGTACTCTTTTCCTAGAAAAACAAAATCAGTCTGAATGGAAGCACAATTTCCTGCGATGCTCACTCACCATCCTCCTTCCTGTTTGTCTACATTGGTGATGATGGAGTTCTTGTAGAAGGTGAGCTCGTCGTCTCTCTGCGCTTTATACTCATACATGGCTTTGACTGTGCACTGGAGCGACAGAAGAGACATTTAGAAGACGTGCATGAATTCAGTGTAAATGTTTAATGCTGAGAAACTCTAGATGTTCACCTTAAGAGTTGGCATTTGATTAGCCTCTACATAAAAGCCTGGATTCCTGCCCTCATACAGCGACCCGTAGTCCGGCTCCTGTTGGTCAACATACTGTGTTTTACAAACCGACTGGTTGGATTTTTGATTTAAAGATACACTGGGTTGCACTCACAGCAGTGCCGATCTTCTCCAGTGTGTCCTCGTTGATGGGATAGCGTAGCTTCATTTTTCGATACAGGGGGTTCTTTTCGTGATAACTGATGAGATCTACAAGGCTGTCGAACTCAGAGGTACCCAGCAACACGGTCTGGCCTTCCTGCTGCACTCGACAGTGCTTGATCTTACCCTCAGCCCTAAAAGCAATAATAGAACAACCCAAAAATGTTTAATTAAGCAGGCATTGGAAAATAGTTTGACATTTTACAACTATGTTTAAATAATGGATTTTTTTAAGACTTGTTGACTTATCAGGTGACTGCTGCATGAAACAGAACTGTAAAGGAATTAATGGGGTCTATCAGAATAAAAAGGGTTCAGAATTCAGTTTAACCCTTTATAGGACACTCTGTGAAATCCTTTGAAAATCAAAATTTCAAGCCAATAGTGTTACTGGAATGCATGACAAGACCTTTCTAACATAAAAAAATATGGACATTTTGATGGCAAAAATTAATGTCAATGTAATAACAAGAAATGCCAACTTGCCCGAATATATTTATAAAAATAACAAAAGTGCTTCTATAAGAAATTCATGAAAAACACTCAGAGTGAAAGAAACAAATTTGTTTTTGGTACAACATAACCTTAGAGGCATTTATGTTGATACTGGCACTTACATTTTTTTGTTTATAAACCGAAATATAATTCGTAACTAGGCTTATTAACTTTTTAACTTTTCAATGAGCTTTTTACCTTTTTTTCCTTGACTTAACTTTTTTTTCTAATTAATTTATATTAGTTAATATATCATTCAAGGGCTCATCTAACAGGTCAAATGCCAAAAGAAGATGTACAGCCATGTAGCAGTATCTTTGCTGAATGGCTGGATATAGATCTTGTGCTTCTAGACCTCACTGAGTGACGGGGGAGACTCCATTTATAAGGGGTATGCAAGTGATCAAAAACGCTAACTTGCCCTATATAGGGTTAAACTGGTGGCTTTTGCCTTCCACTTCACAAAACAGGATTTTATTTTTTAAAATACAAAAAACAAGGAGTTCAAGGATGTAGCATGACAAAAGTGCAGTGGGCATCGACATTGTTAGGCTAAATAAAATAAATATTATACCTAGTTTACATCTTTCTTTCTGGATAGAAATTTAAGGAACTAGTATTGGGTTACCTGAATGAAATGGCAAAGGAGTTGGGTTCTGTCCTCTTCCTCACAAGGAAGGCGCCATCACGGGGGACCCTCATCAACATGTTCTCTGCCTGGCTCCTGGAAAGGTTGGCGTGGTACCATCTAAAATAAACAAAACAAAAAACACCATCAATTACCTCCTTTGACTGTAAAGAACTGATTTATTAGAAGAAACAACAAGGAAAAGTAAATTTTGGGTTTAAATATGGTCAGAGCATCTGTAGATAATGCCAGCATTTAACTGCCTCCCATAAATCTTTGCAGTTCAGAGGAAATCTCCAAACTCACTCCTTGCTTTCGTGAGCGTTGGTCTGAGGCACTGGTTCTGTCAGTTTCATCTCAAACTCATTGCAACGCAGCGCCACCTGTTGGTAGTGGTTGATCAGTGCGAAAAGAGAGTCAAACACCAGGTTATCAGTCAGGTAGAACTTGGGGCTGCCGGCCTCCTGTCGTGAGTGAATCCGGCAGTGCTGCACTCGTCCCAAGCGCCTGTTTTAAAGATAAGTAGGACAAAAATGAAGCTAGAACCACAGTTTGCTTATATTTATATCAGAGTATCACAACAGTAATCCCCTGTGATGCATTAGCGGGAAGATATGTGGCAATATATACTACAAAACAGACTCTGAGGTTTGATGCATGACTTCCCATTTGACTTTAAATCGTTACTGATGCTGATTCAAACCCAGAAAACTTATTTTGTTGATTTGTCTTTTCTGACAGATGGTCTCAGTTAACTCGCTCATTTCCCATCATAATCCTTAGTTTCTTCCAGAAATTTAGAGCGATTGTTTTATGAACAATTTCCTGCTCGAATGACCTGAAACCCTGAGCAGCTGGGTGGAAACTTTAACTAGGTCTTTTTTTAAATGAACAAAACTGTTTAAATGAGAGAAACACAGTTCGATGAATTCAGTATAAGTGATTTAAAAGTGATGCTTTAATCATTTACTAAATGCTGAGGAATGCCTGCAATCAGTAAAAGTCCTTTTCAGTCTCTTTCTGTCTGAAATTGTTTCAGAGTAAAAATTCTACACAGGGTATTTCTAGTTTTTTATTGATTTATTATTTACCCAAAATCAAATATTCTGATGGTCGTATTTACCAGAAAGAAAGTGTGTAGTCCCCCACAAAGGTTTCACTCTCCCGGACCAGGAAGGAGCCGTCAGGAGCTCCGGTCTCCTGGCAGTAATCAGACAGGAGCCTCTCGGCGATCTGCCGTCCGTCCCGTCCGGCGCCAAGCTTTCCATGAAACCATTTCTCTGTCACATGTTGGTCCATGGCATTGGACACCTGCTCGGTTGAAAGAAATATATTAGTGAAACTGCAGCTGCAAAATTTTATTACTCCAAAAACATCATCTTTAAAATTATTTTAACCTTTAATTCAGTCTACGTTAGAAAATCAATCTAAATGCCTTCAAATAAATCAACATAACGTTACTGACTGATGAAATCAGCTAGTACTGGGATAACAGGAATGCTTGGATTCAATAAAACCAACCATAAAACAACTTCAGCAGGATATTCCTTTTTTTTTCTGATTCACGTCCAAGCTCAAAGATTATAATAAATTCCTTCATTAATGTTTTATTAAAGATTATTATTGGAAATCTTTTTAGAACCCACCAGACTCCTTTACATTAGAATACCCCCCCAGCAGCTGCTGTCTATAAATAAATAGCAAGGCATCTACAAACCTCTCTGTGCTCCTCCTCCTCATCATTGCCCTGGTTACTGTTGGTCTCCTCTGAATAGTAGATCTTATTACTGGTCAGGACAAAGAAATGAGGATACCACTCCTGTAAAAGAAAAAAAGAGAACATGTGGTTAGTTGGAAAAGAAAGAAAAAGTTTAAAACCATCAAAGAAAAAAACACAACACACTGCTGTAAAATATTACTTCATTACAGCTTAAAGTTTAAAATCACTGGAAAACCAGGGATATGTGCTGCTAACGTGACTTTCCAGTCACATAATTAAGTCTGGATGTTTCGAAGCAGTGAGAATATGCTTACATGGTTAATCGGATCTTCCAGATAAAGGATGCCGTTTTTGATGGAGTTGCTGATATCATTCTCAGAATAAGGTGTGGAGGTGGACACTTCCTCATAGGGACTACCCTCTGCCAGCTTCTTATGCTGAGGCACATAAAGACAGAAAAGGTTAGGGGAAAACCAGGGATTACACAGTCAGAAACAGAACTTTTTATTCTTAAAAAACAAATATTTGAAAAAAGGAAGGAAGTGGAAAGTGAGAAGAAGAGAGAGAAGGGAGGGGAGGATATGGGGGGTTAAAAGGGGCAGGGAGAGAAGGAAGAAGAGGAGTGGAAAGAAAGGAGGGGGGAAGGTACAAGATAATGGATGTTTAAGAACCATTTGAAAAGGAGTAATTTTTAAGATTCTCAGAACCAATTGATGATACATTTAATGAAGTTCTGCACTACACAGTGTGAACATGTGAAAACTTGTTATTATTAAATAAAAATGTAAATAAAAAAAGATTCAAAAGGCAAATATATTTTAGAACAATAAAACTTCTAAATACAAAATTATAAAAGAAGACTTTTATTCACAGTTTACAGTTTAGGTTATAAAGATGTAAATAACTATGTTTAATTTTGTTTAAAATGTTTAATTGATGTCTTGTGGCTGCAAGTGAGCCCTGACCTTAATGAGAATCTTCTTTTTGAGCTGGTTGGGTGAAGGCAGGCCATCTGCAGCCATATCTACAGCTTTGGTCAGCAGCATTTCTCCAAAGACTTTCTTAAAGTGGGTGGCCATATTCCTCTGCTGCACAATGCTGCAGTGGTCCTCAATAGACAGGATGACAGGATACCTGAGAGAGATAAGCAAATTGAAACTTGAAAAGTTGCACATTTCCTAAAATACCTGTCGCTAAAAATAGACATATCAATGACATAAGAGGAATGACAGCACTCATCCGCATTCTTTCTGACGTGTAATCGTCTCATCTCAGTCATTTCTAATCTTTTTGTCATCCTTCCGAGAAGAAGTTGACAAAGGAAAACAAAAAAGTTCCTGGAGAAGAGGAGACTCACTCTGATGTGACAAACGCGTGGTCCTTGATGGTGTTAAGGACATCGCTGAACTTGATTTTAGAGGTGAGGGTGTGACCGTGATAAATAACTGGCATTCCATCAGGGCCATCCCAGCAGTCCACTGAGAACAAACAACTTTATTCTTAGTCACACTGTGTGTGCTTTCAAACATCTGCATGCATTATAGTCATAATAGAAGCTTAGCTCAGTCAAAACGTCATGGTTCAGGTAAAAGGCTAAAAATGAGCTACGGTTCATCCCTGCAGAACAGGTTCTATGTGTTTACGTACATTCGATACAGCGACATCCCATCCTCAAACAGCGAGCATATGCCTCCAAGGACGATTCACTGGAAAACTGGTCTCCTGTCAGGTAGCTAAAAATAAAGAAAGCAAAAATGTATTAACACAAAGCAAGTTGACAGAAGAAACCAGATCGCACACAAAAACACACACACACTGCATCTTACAGCAAAATGACAAGTACCATTCTACCGTTTCCTTTTTTTTCCTATTCATTCTGACAACTCAAACACTTAAAGGATTATGGGAAATGTTTCACTTCTAGTAGAAAGGATTATCAATGGATCTTCCTTTCTCACACTTTTCAATGCCTGGAAAAATACCTCTTCTTATTAAATAATCCAGAGAACATTATTCTGGAACATAATGAGGAAATAACAGACTTTTATCTGATAAGAGAAGTCAGCATGAAGCTTGTTTTGGGTAAAGAATTCCAAGAAACAATGCCAGGCTTCAGCGCTCCCAGGACCCGATTACAATCGACGCAGATGTTCACCATCTGCACAGTTTTCCTTACGTGTTGTGCGAAGAAGAGATCCAGTAGTGGGACAGAGGGTTGTTCATGTTTTCAGGACACACTTTGTCCAGCGAGGAATCCCAGATTGTGTTCTCCTTGGAGAAGAGGTATGTGAGGAACTACAGAGAGGAACGAAGAAAACAACTTTTGTGAATGAAACAATTTTTGATGCAGTAAATTATATAAATATGTGAACATTTGCCATTGAACAAAGGGAGATGAACATATCCATGTATTTATCTGTGTTCATTTTGCATATGGGTTCCAGCTAAAGGAAACTTTAATAACTCAAAAATATGTAAACCAGTTCATTAATAAGAAAGAAGAAAAACAAATTACACCCATACTCGGTATAGTATATGGATATATACTTGGTGTTGTACATAAATGACTGCTGAGTGCAGCAGAGTACAGAGGTGATCAGAATGGGGTCCTGCTGTTTAAGCCATCAAGGATCATCAGATTATATCTATTGATACGTCTTATGCCTGTAGTCTTCCTTTAGACAAGATCATGGGACAATAGATGGCCTGAAGATAAAGCAGGTTTGCCTGTCACCCAATTACATGGTCATGAAAGCAGGTACTGCTGAGATTTGGCGGTGGAGGAAGGATCCAAGATCTGCTAAAAAATGAAATCAGCATCTTCACAAAGCTTTTTCCCTTCGTTAACATAAATTGAGAAGCTATCAAACCTGAAATGGATTCTTATACACGAAACAGAGAACATTTAAGAAAATAAACTGTTTGTCAAATAGGCGATTATACCTCTAATTAAATTTGGGGACCAGTTTAGATGGGGTCCTGCTTGTAAATCTCAGCAATTAAACAAATCAAATTTTCATTCAATATCATGCTCTAACTGCAAATGCAACAATGGGTGAACCCAATATATTGGCAAGTTTAAATTTTTTTTTTCCATTTTAGAATGAGTGTTATCTGCATTCCCTGAAAGCACCACTAGTGTTTTTTTCCCCTTTGATTTATTGCTATTAGAGCTAGACCAAAACCTCGCTCGCCCAATATTTTTGTTCGATAATTGTTATCTTGCTCTGACATCAGCTTATTTGTACATGAGTTTCCTGATTATTTTTAGTGCATTCAGCAGCCATGCCTTGGATCACGTGAAGCACAATCATTGCTGCTCCCTACATTCCCTTTTTACTGTTTTGTTTGCTTGTTACAAAATGTTTATTTTTGTTTGAATTTAGACTTCTGCACATTTGTTATTATTTTTTTCTTCTTCAAAAATTGCCACAACCTCAAAAATAAATTTCAAAACATTAAATCAGCAGCAAATAATTGAGGATCAGTTAGATTGATGTCATAATAATCAGTTTCAGCATCGGCCTTAAAATAAAATGCCAAGCCAATGTGTTTAAAGAAATCACTGAATATATTTAAGAGAATCACAAACCTGAATAATGTTTATCTAGATCTTAAATGTTTCTTAGTTCAACATCAACAGAAATAAGTCAATATATTATCTGTGAAGTGAGAGTTCATGCAGGAGGTAGTTCTGCTAGAACTGCTTCTGTACAGGAAATGAGGCCTCTCTCTTAGGAGTCTTCATATTTGTTGCTACCTTGTCTTAAATTCATCACTCTGGTGGGTTTTGGAGGATTCTTTCATTGTAAGGTAAGTGTGAAAAATTTTGCAAACAAAGTAAAACTTCAATAAACTGAGGTGAATTAGTGGTCCATCCAAATACTTGATGTAGCAGAGCCAAGGACTCTTCCTTTTGAACTTTTAGAACTTAAAGGAGAACGCCTTTTTTTTTTTTTTTTTTTTACATTGGCCCCTTGATTTTACGTTATTAAATCATGTTCTACTCTCTCATATTAGTTTTGTGTCATTTTGAGCTTTGTTTTAAAAAAATATATATATAAAATATATAACCGTGAATGTCTGGGGGACAGTGATTCGCTTACATGTTATGAATGCTGGCGTACCATAAAGAATAAATTATGAACAGTTTAGTTTGTGCCTTCAACTTGTTGCCCATAGGAAGATGTTATTTGGATATTACAAAACCGAATATCTTCGGACAGCCCAGAACAACACAAAACTAATATGGGTGAGTAGAACATGATGTAATAGCGCAAAATCAAGGGGCCAATGTAAAAAAAAAAAAAATGGTGTTCCCCTTTAAGGCAGCATCCCCTGCCTCGCCAGATTCATTTCCTTTTACAGGGAAATAAGTTGCAACCACAAACGCATCCCTCGCTTTCTACAGAACTGTCATACAGCATCATGGTAAATAACCTTTTTTACTGTGGGGGAGAAGGTATTTTAAACCGGTGTCCTTGTCATTCTCTGATTAATATCCCACCCACACAAACAGCATAGAGAGGGGTATCGGAAAACTTAACTTGTAAAATATTTTGAAAGTTTCCATTACAGTAGAACCCAAAGAAAAAAGATAATAACATCTATACCTCATCTGGTTGAAAGTATGGCTGCTCCACTTCTCGGAGAGGATCTTTCAGGTAACCAAACATAAACTCTTGAACCTTGTTGTTGTCTGTGGCCCACAGTTCCTTAATAACCAAAAAACACAATATTGATATATTAGCAAGAGCAGGCCAAATGGAAATATGCGATATGTTCAATAGCTAGGAACTTACCTTTTGAGATTCAAGGAGGAAACTCTTAAAGTTCTCCAAGGTGATCCTCTGCTCTGGTCTATCAATAAACCTGATAAAGGAAACAACGCTTCATTTAAGTAGATAAAGAAAAAACTTCTACCCAAAAAGCAACAACAAAAAAAGAATGCTTATATCTGAATATGTTGCTTTGAGGACCTACTTTTGCATAAACGGGATCTCCACCTGAAAAAGGAGTAAAAAAGAAAAGTAAATTTCTGTAAGTTTCCATCACAGTGCTACAGACAGACACAGACTTCCTGAGGTTGGCTGAGGCCAATGGGGTCATCCATTTAAAGTGTGACCAGAGCCTGGCTGCTTACTCATCTGTGTGTCCTAATGGCCTCCACTAGAGGGGTTTGGTGGGTTTTAGCTGGTGCATATTGATCTTGTGGCCATTTGAGAACACAGAGATGGGGGATGATGTGAGCCTCAGTAGCCTGAACGCAGGACGTGCCGGAGGCTAAAAGTGATGGGAACACATAAAGGGTCTGCACTTACATTTTTCTGAGCGTCAAACATTAGGTTACGATAAAGCTGGGCGAACTGGCTGAAGGTCACGTCTCCATTCCTGTTTTCAGAGTCCTTAAAAAACAAGAGCAGAAGGATGGAAACGTAAGGAAAAAAAACTTAGTGAAAAAAAAGAATGTAAATCTTCTAGTGAAAGGAAGTGGGCAGGGAGATGGAGGGAAAGGTGGTCTGAGATAAGACAGAGAGAGGTTACCGGAAGTTTGTCTTTGATGAACCTCATGTTTGGCACCCTGTAGTTGACCTGGCTCAGCATGTTCTTCAGATCCTTGCAGGATATCCTACACACACACACATGCACATTTTATAAAAAAAAAAAAAAAAGAATTATTGAACATTAAAATGCAAGAGAATGTAAATCCATGTAAAATCTTGTGAGTTTAGAAACCATCATGTTAGATTAAAAAAAAATGTTTGTTGTTTTTTTTTTTATTCCTTTGGTTCTCTACTACAGAGTCTGGATTTTTGGCAAGGGATGAGAAAAGCCTTAAAAAATAACAAAGACAGGGATTTTACAGACAAACATCTCTGCACATCTCCTTCGTCCTCTGCAGTCTGTTTCCTGCTGCAGGAAGAGTTGCTAGTGTGTGGCTCTTGGGTCAGTTCCTTCACTACACCTAAACTAAGCTCTGTCAAAAACACCTATTACTCAGGGAAAAAATGCTCAATCTACTTCATATTATTAAAACAGTCGGGTTCTGTAGCTGTTGCGTTTTTAGATCAGAAAAAGGTATTTGATAAAACACACTTATTGATAAATACATTCTTTCATCTAAGTCCAAACTTTTTGCAAAAGGTAGATTAACATAACATATGCTTGTTATTCTAATTTATGAGTTTAAAATGAAAGTCAAACATGTTATTAATTACTAAAAATTGACAATCTTACCATCCAATTAAGCTTAAACATCAATTTTTGGTAATATCGATTTATCTGCTGAATGTTTGAGAAATTCTACTAGATATTGCAAAAACGTGTCAGGTTTCTTTTGTTGCTTATTTCAGAAAATCTAGACTAATATGTTAATTAACAGACACCACTAAAAAAAAAGTTGGTTAGTTGGTTTAATGACTACCAAACTGGCCTGACCAGAACCCAATTCTCTAACCTGGGTTTCCATTATACCTCAGCAGTCTCACTGAATGATTGCCTGCATGCAATGCCACATTGATGCAGTAATTCTTGACGAAAGAGGGTAAAGCTAATATTGAGCGCATAAAAAAACAGTAAGCTTTTAGATGCCTGACAGTTCTTAACAAAACTCATTAGGCTTTTTAAAAAAAAATTATTTAAACTTAGATTTAGCATTTTAAGAAGATTTTAAATTATCAGAACAAAATCTGGCCCTAAAATATTTTCTTAAAATTTTTCAATTTTTTTTTTTTTAACTGCAGTCTGGAACCACTTGAAATTATTGCAAGTGCCCCAGACAACCATCTGCTGCACTTTCGATAGCCCTTCTCTACACTCTCATAAAGCAAAAAATTGCTCTGATGAATTTAGTCATTTTCCTTGGAATTTTGTGGTTGTTTTTTAAGTGACGAGTAAAATTTTTGTGTTTGAAATAAGAGTTCCACAAGAAACCAGTTTAGTCCCCCTTCTTTTTTTAGTTTGTAAATTAATCTATCAATAGTTTTGGACTTTGGATTTTTTTTATTTTACCAGAACCGGATGGGTTGTTTGGGACTTTTTTTTTTCCATTCCAACTATCTGCTTCACAACCAATTCTGGTTAAAATAAAGGGTGACAACATTAAACAGGTAACAAGAGAAACATTATCTGGACACACTATGAAAGTCAATGCTAATTTGCAGAAGTAAAAACATAAAAATTATACTTTTAGATGATAACAAATGGCATTTTACTGAATTGCAAACCAACAGTCAATTAGCACTAAACACTGAGCTTTAAATACAGTCCTAAATATTTTGAATATGTAGCCTTTTTTTAATACCTTAGAGGCTTATAGTACGTTTTGCATACTTTGAGCTGTTCCTGATCATCTAAAATTCATCAGTAAAAGTGCACTGAAAACAGCAAACACAACTGGTTCACCAAAAAACTAAGCAGTGTTGCTGTAATCAATGTAACTTTGTAGTTAACTATCACCTGAGCCAACTCACCTGTCCTCTCTATTGCGATCAACAGCATAGAACTGCTTGCGTAACCACCTAGAGGAGAATAAATAAAAAGAATCAGATGAGTATGACAAAGATAATGTCAATTCACCAAATATTCCATGGAAGCTGGTTGAGGTATATATATTTGCTGTAGAGTTACCTTTCTACTTGTAATGGTGTTGGTGACTTCAATGTGTCAGCCACAAGCCAGGTTAACCCCTTAACCCACATGGACATCTCCTCATCAGATGTTGCTGAAAAAAGCAGGTAGAAAGGTGCACAGGTCAGATATAATTCTGGGCACTACATATAAAAAGCAGTGGTTATATACGGTAAACATCCTTAAAGATTGAGATTTGTGATTGACCAAGATATAATCTGCATGTGTTAATGCTGGTGTGCATACCTGCCAAGCTGAGGGATTTAAGGCGAAACTCTGTGCCGTATAGAATAACAAAGCAGAAGGCATCGAGCCGTACCGCTGAGTCCTCCACATAGCGCTCAAACTCCCGGGACTTCTGACCAGAACGGATCTCCTTGATCTCTCGAATGTCAACTGGAGAGTCACAGAAGACAGTGAATTAGAAGGCAGCCATTTCTTTTCAAAACCATTCCTAGTTCATCCTCCATCTGAAGAGTTGTCAGTTAAACTCCCACTCTGCGCACTCCACTCACATCCCCTACTTGTGGTCAGATGGTCCAGTGGCGCCTGACTACAGCAGCCTTGCTTGTGTCAGTGTTCCACAGGGCAGCTGTGGCTACAATTTAGCTTACCACAATCAGTGTCAGTGTGTGAATGACTAAATCTAGAGTAAAGTGTTGGGAGTTCCACCCTGACTTGAAAAGGTGATACATAAGTACAGCTTTTTTACTACATAACTGAGGTTTTATGATGAAATCTAATCTAAATGCTGCTTTATTAAGGCAAGGAGATGATGAAGGCCTGCAAAACCCTGTGTACAAAAACATGAAATAAGCCTTGAATAAATAATTGGTTAAACTAAATATCTTATTACTGCTATTGCATGAAAATGTTGCAAAGCTGCTTAAGTATAAAAAACTTTTCATATCTGTTAAACTATTTCTCATGGAAACATAAATATTCAATATTTCTAAAATTTTCAGACAAAACTGGACAGCTAATATCAGCTCCCTATACCTGTATGCTATTAAATAGCAGGGTGTCATATGCCAATATGTATCGTATCGTCATTGTATCACATTTCTCTCACATTCTGAACAGTAAGAACTTAAAAACTATAACTAAATTGCTATATCATAAGTCATAAATACGTTTTTTACTATAATCACTGCAACTGTAGAAGCTATTGTGATATTACTTTGGAGAAATGGGAAAAAACAGCTTACTAAGGAAAACATTTCCACTTCTAAGCCCTTAAATGACAATCATGACAATCATGTGACAACATTTTTATTTTATGCCAGTAACTGAAACAGCTTCAAGCTTAAGAATCACTTTTCTTCAATTTTATACTTAAAACCTTTTCTTTCCACAGTGTTAGAAATAACCGTCGAGCTAACAGATCAACATACTTGATGTATATACTTTCCTTATCACATGAGCCAAACCACAACATATAGATATATAGATGTGTGTAAAAATAGCAACAACAAAAAAATTCTCTTCAATAAACTTCTAAACCATCAATTATCAAACAGGAAACTGAGCTAACTAGAAAGCACAAATAAACTGCACATAGATTCATCTTAAAGGAAGAAAGCAGAATGAAAATTGTGTAAAGTGTGTGTTGAGGAGGTTAATAAGCAGCCTGGAAGACTAAAGGCTGTAAATGAAAACATATCAATGGCCCCCTGTTGGGATAACATTTAGCTTTTGAAAACCCTAAGCGGGGCTCTCCTGCTGAAAACGCACACGTTTGTTTCAGCTCCTGCTTCTCTTCCTGCCCCCCTACCACACATCCTGTGCTTTTGTCGCCTACACACCACATCTGTGCTAGTGCATAGGTGACAGTGTGCACGCTCTTTTGTTGTGCATTTAAGAAATGAGGTCTTCTCACAGCTTGCCAGTCATACCTCGCATCTCAGTGTACTTCACCCACTAGACAGCCAGCAGACATCCGCTGAGTGCAGGGAGGCTGATGTAACTGTTAGGCAGCACTTTCAGTCATTTTAAGTCAAAATATTTAAAGGTTTTCATGAGGATTATCTATCCTAAGTCAATTCAAAGCTTTAGCGTATTTAGAACATAGAACAGTCTATTTATAGATTGGAGTCATTCACTTTGCTGCTATGTTTGATTATTATCAAGTGTGGAAATTGTGTGTATATGTGGATTATGCTTGAAATTAGTTTAAAAAGGTTTATTTAATCTAGGACAAAAAAGAAAAGTTACAGTTAAAAGGATACTCAAAATAAACAAAACCTACGTTTTGTGTGTTTTTATTTAAATATATCTCTAAATTGCCTTTTTATTTGACCCTGTATCCTATTTTTCTTAATTTACTTCAGGTCAGAAGTTCCCATGCCATTGTGTGGATGTGATGTCAAGCGCGTCCTTGTTGAATGGGTCCAACCAAGCAAACAACTGAAATTCTATATTCAAGATGGATTTTGTGGATACTCAGAAGCATCCAGCTGAACTCGGACAACAATGGCAACTCCATGCAATGTGAAAAAGTTAAAAACATTTTAAAAAAAATTGCTGCAGTTCCATGTTTTGACCACAGATGGCAGTAACATTAGAAAACTCTGTAATGCCTCTTTAACCATCAAATTGTAATTGTGAAAATAAAGTTGTTAAATGAAAACAACACAAATAAAAATAAAGAAAACTAGTTTATCTGCAAAAGGTTTTTACACTTCTATGAGGTGGCTTTTCAGTTGTAACGAAATTATTTTTTTTTTGCAAAGCTTTTTTCGTATCACACAAGTCACATGATCTGCAAACAGAAGTTACTTCCTTTTAAAAGACAAAGAAGACTGGAAATAGCTGGAGGATGATTTAATTCAATTTCAATTCAGTTTATTTCTATAGCGCCAATTCACAACACATGTCATCTAAAGGCACTTTACATTTCACCAGATTATACAGTCAAATTGATTCAAAGCTTTTTGTCTAAGGAAAACCAGTTGATTGCATCGACTCATTGACTCGAAGGCAATCCCTCACACTGAGCATGCTTGTAGCGACAGTGGAGAGGAAAAACTCCCTTTTAACAGGAAGAAACCTCCAGCAGAACCAGGCTCAGTGTGAGCAGCTTTTTTGCCGAGGCCGACCAGGGTTCAATGAGACAGAAGCAGAGATACTAAAAGCAGCTGTAAAAGGCGGCCCCGTTCAGGAAACACACAGCCAGGCAGACGATCTCTGAGCCAGCTCCCATGTCAGAGGATGAAGAGAGCACATCCAGCCAGTCACAGTCAGAGAAACAGGACAACACTGAAAAACAGCAAGATCTCAAACATCTATAAACCAAGGTGTTGATGCCAGTAGCACAGCTGATATTTCTCTGCAGGATGGTGTCACTGCTACAGCAGGATGACGTCGCTACATATTTGGAATCATGAGGAGACTTAATTCTCGAGGATTGTGATGATTAACCATTTAACAGTTTAACCCAAGCAAAGGAGATACACATCATTTTTAAGGTAGGATTATATGTACAGTTGTGCTTGAAATTTTACATACATTCCCCCCCATTAAGAAAAAATAAAAAATTTACACAAGTAATTCAAATAACACACACAAAAAAAAAAAATTATAAATAATAATAATAAACATTTACTAAATGTTAATTTAGGAAAATAAAATATTGATTTTGCATTTGAATTGGATAATAACAATTCTAAAAAACAAACTCTTCCAGACAAATAAAGTGTTTGTGAACAGTGAACCAACACTCGCCAATAGGCGCAGAAGCCATGCTGAACATTTTCTGAACCTTACAGAAAACAGCTGATTTTATGATTGCCTGAAAGTGTTGCTCTACATTATAGATCAGGAGCTGCATCAGGCTTGTTTACTGGTTTATTTATAAATATTTACATTCTATGTATACAACAAATTTCATGATTTCCATCCTTTATTATTTTTATTCATTATTATTTTTGTCAATTTCAATTCATTTTACTAGCAGCTGATTTTCTTCTGTCTTTAATGGAAGGGTATGTAAACTTTCAAGCACAACTGTAGTTATTTGACTCTCTGATTCCTGCTGTGCACCAAATTTCCCCTTGTGGAACAATAGGGAACTGATCTGAACCACAGGAGTTAGCCAGAGGAGTGACTGAACTACAGGTATTCCTGCAAAACACTGCTGTAGTTCCTCCTCCAATACATTTGCACCACGTTCACAATAACACATTGGTCAGGAGGTGAGCATCGCGCCCAGCACTGTGGTTAACCAACTTTTAATCACAACATGTCTGATGCGTGGGAAATATTTTACTCTAGAAGCAAAACTACAACATTTTCCAAACCAAGTCCTGCTGACAGAGTTAAATTAAAGAGTTAAACTAAAATAAAGTAAGGTTAAAAGCTCTAAAAACAAAAACAAACAAAAAAAAACAGTAGGAGTGTTTACCCTTTAAGCTGGGCGCACACTGTGCAATTTTCGGGGCGATTCTCCAGTCGTGTGAGAATCTTTCGATCGGGCCGACTTTCAGCCTGATCATGCGTCGTGAGTCGTGTAGTGTACAGGGGGTTACGAGGGGCAATAAGCCTCTCACGACCACCTCCCGATCAGGAATTGTAAGGCCCGGAGAAAATCAAACATTGATTTTCTCCCGAACGTCGTTTGCAAATCGCTCAGTGCGCAAACAAGGATTCTTCTAAAATAAAAGAATAACATTAAAGTAGAAAGTGCTGTGGTAGCACAATAGTATCAGCAGTAGGGCTGGACGATTTTTACCATTACTTATATTCACCATGATAAACGACAACAATTTTTTCATGTCGGTAAAAGAAATAAACAGAATTTAGTTTTTTTCGTGTACTAGGTTGGTTGGTATTTCCTTCCCCTTTAAGACACTGCAGCCTGTGTGTAATCATGTGACTCCGCTGATCCAGTCAGAAGCGTAAACAAAGAGAATGGTGGATGAGCCCAGAGAAGAAGCGTCTAACACAGCTGTAAACGAAATTATATCAGTTAATCCTGTCGAGCCGAACGAGAGCAGAAATGAAGCTGAGCGAGCAGAGAAGAAGTCGGGGTCGCGTTGTTAAAGTTAAGTGTGCAGCAGGCGGCTTTGTGCGAGTTGAAATGATGCACACTGTTCTCACTGCATGCTCAGTTCGGTGGCAGCAGAATTACACCTTATATATTGAGCAAAAGTGACAGAAAACTGTCTGGAATATCCAAAGTAACACATCAAGCCTCCACCACCAACATCCAACCATGCTTTTGAGTTCAAAGATGTGCAAAAGGCTCCACTATCTTTGCGCAAAAATGTTTGTAAGGTAACATTTGTCTCCTGTTCAATGAGACATTGTTGAATGTTTAAAGACTTTTATATTTAATTCAAATGTATTATGTAATGTGAATTGTTAAATAAATTATAAATAAAATAACTAAATTATGA